ATGCCAGGCGATAGCCTTAGCACCTTACACACATTTTTAAACATAACAACTTTATTGAGATTTGATTCATGTTTTATACAATTCACCATGTGAATTATCTCGTCTACTAGTTTATAGCATGTTCACAAAAGTTGTGCAATCATCACAGTCAGTTCTAGAACATTTTCATCATTTCATAAAGAAATCCTGTATACGTTATGATACTCCATTTCCCTTTAACTACACTCAGTCCCTAGCAACCAGTATTTTCTGTCATTATAGATTTGCCTAATGTAGACATCCCATATAAATGGACTCATATAATACATGGTCATTTGTAATTGACTTCTTTTATTTAGCATAAAGGTTCATCCATGTTGAAGCATATATTAGTACTTCATTCCTTTTTATGGCTAAATAATATACTGCTGTATGGATATACCAGATTTTGTTCATCCTTTCATTGGCTTAGATGCATTTGATGTTATGAATAATGCTGCTATAAATATTTGTGTACAAGTTTTTATGTAGACACAATGTTTTTGGATTCTTGAGTATAATATTACTAGGAATAGAATTTCTAGGTCATACAAATAAGTTTTTAACCTTTTGAGGACATCCCTGACTGTTTTCCAAAGCATCTACACCATTTAACGTAGCTATATAGAGAGTACCAGTTTCTGTACATCTTCTCCAGCACTTATTCTTATCTTCTTGATTATAGCCAGCCCAGTAGATAGTGAAGAGGTATCTCATTGTGGTTTTGATTTGCATTTCCCTCAGGACCAGTGATGTTGGGTATCTTTTCATGTGCTTTTTGGCCATTTGTGTCTTATTTGGAGAAATGTCTTCTTCTGATCCTTTGTGCATTGTTGGATTAGTTTTGCTATGGAATCTTGTGAGGTAGGAGATGCTACCTCAACTATGCAAATAAAGAAACAGAATCTCAGTAATGTGAAGTATTCTGGCCAAAGCCACAGTGAATTTTACTTCCCAGTCCAACTCCAACCCCCATGCCCTTTCTAATACACAGTGCTGCTCCGTGAGGATTCATGGTAGCATCACCAGGGTCCTGTATAAGGGCCCTGAGAAGCAGGAAGGGAGCAGAGAAGGAAGTAGAAAATCAGTTGTAGAAATTCACCAGGGCCAGCTAGAAGAGGCCTATGAAAGGTCAACAGAAGAATGTGGATATATCTGGAGTTTCAGGATGGGAGAAGACACGTTAATTTTATTTTTTTCTTTTTCTTTTTCTTTTTCTTTTTTTTTTTTTTTTTTTTTTTGGTATTGGAAATTGAACTCGTGACCTCACACTTGCCAGGCAAATTCTTGTGCCACTGAGTTATACCCCCAGCCCAAAGACACATTAATTTTAAAATTGTCATTTCCTAGGTACAAATTCATTTCTGTGACTCTCACTAGATGGCATCATCTCAGATTTTCACAGCAACCCAGTTAATGTGCATTAATGTTCCTGTTTTACCAGTGAGAGGTTTATGGCCCAGAAAGATGACGTGATTTTCCAATGTAGGAAATTAGGATTAGAACCCAGGTCTCTCAGGCTCATAGTGATAGATTGTTTCAGAGATACTCTATGGAAGATTATTTTTATGTTATTTGTAGATTTACAATTTTTTTCTTTTAATGGTACTAAGGAACAAATCTAGGACATAGCACATGCTAGGCAAGTGCTCTATCACTGAGAGCTACATCCTCAGCCCAGCATTGAGGGTAGGGTTCACACTCTGTCCTCGTAGCCCAGGCCATGGAATATGCTTAATGTGATGGGTGAATAAGGACTACAGTAGAGTACATGGCATAAAAGGACTTAATTCCACCCGGGAATTTGGGGGAAAATATAGTATGTGTGAGGTTTTGGATAAGGGTCTTATCCCAAGATGAAAACTCTGCTCTAACTTTCTAAACATGGGGTTTGGAGTGAGCATTCTGCTACCCAGGCATCTTTGGCCTCCCTGGAGAAGGACCAGCCAACCTTGGTTCAGCCAACCTTGTAGTTTTCTGTTCCTCAGAGTGGGAAGGACCCTCAGACCATCTAGGCCAGTTGTGGCAAGCCTGTGGCACACGTGCTACAACAGGCTGTTTGTAGCATTAAAAGCTGTAAAAGGGTTACCATCACTGATCTAGGCCAGTGCTTCTCAGATTGTTCTGAGGAGCTCTGCAGTAGGCTTAGGCTTATTAAGCATGTCTCCATAGGCCTTGCCTTAGGACTCTGAATGGCTAGAGTGGGGGCCAGAGAGTTGATGTATTTTGACCACCTACCCAGATGATTCTGTCCCCACTAAAGTTTCAGAACCAATGATAAAAAAAAAAAAAATCTTTTCTACTTTAAAAACAGGGAGTTTAGGGCACAAAGGGATGAGCCATGTATCAAGTTAATAAAAAAGCCAGTCTTGAACTCAGTTCTCTGAGTTGTCAGTCTACTATTCTTGCTGATCCCATACTACTTCGTTTAGTTTAGTTTAGCTTAATTTAGTTTAGTTATTTTGATTTTTTGAGACAGGATCTCACTATGTAGTTTAGCCTGGCCTTGAACTCACTTTGTGTCCCAGGCCAGCCTCGAACTCTTGGCAGTCCTCCTGCCCCAGCCTACCAAGTGCTGGGATTACAGGTGTGCACCACCACACCCGGCTACATAGTTTATTTTAAAAAGCTGTTGCATACCCATAGCTTTTGTTATCCTAAATCTAAAGTCCTTTTGGAATTAGGGGTTAGAAGGGTCTAGGACCCCTTGAAGAGACAGGAATGGCTGGCTAGGAAGAGAAGCAGGAGCCTGGGCCTGTCTTCCCCTGCGCTGTCTTTACATGAAGGGTGGTAGATGTCTTTGTTGGGAAGGTGACGGTTCACTGGCTGAGGACCAGCTGTAAGCATGGAGCCTCGGAAGACCACCTTGGTGGCCAGCTGCCAGGCAAGCTTGGATGAATCCCTTACTTTAACTCAGTGAGGATGGGGTGAGTGGGGGATCCATTTGAGGCCATGCTGCTCCTCTTTTCTTACTCCATTTCACTTTGGGCCATTTTCTGTCTTCTCTTGAGAAGAGTGTGAGGCAATCTACTGGGGCAGGACTCATAACACTGGGTGATATGGGGAAAGCATTTAGTGCTAAGAGCATGAAATAGGCCCTGCTGAACTGGGCTAGGTCCCAGCTCTACCACTGATTGTGTCATCCTTCTGAACTTCAGTGCCCTCCTCTATAAAATAGCATAAATTTACACCCCACAGGGTTATTCTGAAACAGAAAAGGAAGTGACAGTGCTTTACAGGTTGTAATAGACTATTTAGTTCCAATGATTGCTCTGTAGAATACCAGTTCTGCAGGATTTCCACACGGTTTTGTGAAACAAAGTGGCCATCAAACAAGAAACTGCCCAGACGCCAAATGAAACAAATGGCTTGCCTCAGTCCTACATTCTCCTGTTCCCTGTGCCTTTCTGAGAGAAAAGTATATTCAGGGTTTCCCAATGAAACTTACTTTTCCCTGCACTGAGAATACACTGTTGAAAGCTCAAAGTTAGACAGAAAGGGGGTGTTTGTTTCCATCACTGTACTTGTGATATGGATTATAATTAGTCTGCTCAGTTGTCTGACTTTTTACCTACTAGTTTACTTCTTAAAGTCAGGAATTATGTCTGATTTTCTGTAAGATCTCCAGAAGCTGCCGCCATGCTCTGGTGCTCGGTAAACGTTGTCTGTTAAATGAGTAAGGGGTTTTCATTGTAAAATGGATCACACCCTTCTTGCTTTCTTGAACTGACTGTCACCTTTCCTCAGGTACATGGTTATATGCACAGTTAAGGTCCTGTGTGGCAGTTCAGTGATGCCCTTAGGGCCTTTTCAGGTGCTGTGCTCTGTAGTCCTTTTTTCAGCTTTTCATTGTCCTTTTCTTTTCCCTCCGTGCCAGGCCAGGGCTTGATTATAATCATTCTGCTTGATTCTAAAGCATCTTCCCCCACCTTATTTCCTTCTCTTTATCTGCAGTGAGCTAGAAACAAGATCACCAGGTATGATTTGCTAAGATTATTTGTGACTAATCTCAGATTGAGGGCCTAAAGATCTTTTAGGGAAAAGTGTGGATCCATTGCACATGGGATTTACATCTTAGCTGCTCAGAGGCTTTCTTCCTTCCTTTCTGTTCTTCTTGCCCCCAAAAAGGGCCATACACCTCCTCAGGCGTTGGGCTGAGCAGTTAGCACCTGGGATCCCCTGTATGGAGTAGAAGAGCTAATCCACCATTGATTCTATAGACCATACAGAGTGTGGCCTGGTCTCCAGCTGCAGGCTCCCCCAGCCTCCTTCTGGCAAGACATTTAAACTTTTGCTACAGAAGCTAGCATATCCAATAGGGTGCTGTCTACAAACCTCAAGCCATTTTCTGATAAGGGGCTCTACAGAGAGTGTGCCTTCACCTTCACCTGAGCAAGAAAAGGAATAAGAGCATAGGCTGGCACCAGAACATCTAGGCTCTGCTTGCCCCATTTCCAAAATGATGAAAGAAAAAAGGAAGACTCAGATTAGACCTGTGTTCTGAACCCAGGGCCGCATGTACCCTAGGCGAGTACCCCCCACTGAGCCACATTCCCAGCCCTCCTCTAGCTTTCCATATCATCCCATTATACTTTTTTTTTGTTTTGTTTTGTGTCAGGAATTGAACCCAGGACCTCGCACTTGCCAGGCAAGCACTGTGCCACTGAGCTATATGCTGCTAACATAGCATTTATGTCAAACAGTACTTTCAACATTTGTTTATTGTCTGTCTCCCTTGTCCAATTATGTCAGAGACCATAGCTGGTTTATTTCATGTCCCAAAGATTCATCCTGACACGTATTTGTGGAACTAACCAGCCGCTTCTTGCCCAGCACAGGTGGCCAGGCATATAGCACAGGTGTGATTTAATGTTTAGTAAATGGGTGAGTGAGTGAATTGAAACGCCAAAAGAGAGTAGACGAAATTGGTGGCTCATGCATTTGTTGCTAATTTAGGCGTTTATGTTGCTGTCTCCCCCCAGTCCTGGTCACCCGAGAGGATGATTTCAATAACCGACTAAACAACCGTGCCAGCTTCAAAGGCTGCACAGCCCTGCACTACGCCGTCCTTGCTGATGACTACCGCACTGTCAAGGAGCTGCTTGATGGAGGTGAGAGCTGAGTGGAGGATGGGGCGGGTCAGGCTTGGCAAGGGAGAGAGTACTTGGCGGGCTGTCCAACCTGGAAATGCCAGGCTTCCCAGGCACCCTGTTAGTCTCCCTGAGCTAGACATGCCTTGAGAGTGAGTATACTTCTTGAGACTGACAGTGTGCATGTGAGATTTGCTTTCCACTGGGTGGTGCTTTACAGATGGTGCCTGCAGGTATATGTGATGCTCCTTGCCAGCCAGCTTGTCTACAAAAGCTATAAGGGTTTTCTTGATGGTTGCTCTCCTCCAAAGTGTTCTCTCTTCCTCCCACGATTTCTAGAGCCAGACCAGGGGAGAGTCTCTTCAGATCTCTAATGCAGGTCACAAAGCTGTCTTCCTTAATCCTACCCCAGCCTGTGTCGGTTAGGTCCTTTCATTACTCTTGAGTTGGGACACTCTAGTCTTTCCTGTCATTGCACTCATCACAATTGGAGATTATTTGTATTTGTTCTTATCCCTAACACAAGCCTGAACTCCCTCAAAACCAGAACCATGGCTGACTTAAGTGTCCCTTAATGCTTATACTTAGTAGTAAGTACTCAGTAAATACTTGCTAAATGATGGATACTATCCCTTTTGAGATTGAACCTTTAATTAGAGGGACATTAAATGCCACTCCAGATTCAGGTCCTATCTGAGTCTGGTACAGTTACCTGCCAGATGACCCCACTTTCCTTTCTGCTTTCCCTTATCCCAGCCCAGCCTATGGGAGGGCCAGGAAAGTATCTTGCCAACACGTGTGAGTGAGTATATGGTGCAGACTACCTGTTCACACCTTTCCTGCCTTCCTGCCACTTGAGAGCAGGGACCTATACTAAGGACTGGACCCCAGGGTCCTCCTTGTCAGGCATCATTCTCCTTGGGACCTGAAAGCTAGAAGCATCTGGGCTACTCTGATGATTGCTCTTTTCCTCCCAGCAGAAACCCCTCCAACAGCTGGCTGGCTGGCTGGCTGGCGTTCCCTTGGGTTCTGTCAGAGACTGAGGGATCTTGCTTCTTCCCTAGTCATCCATTCTGTTTTACTTCTGCTCTGACTGGTGCAAGTGTCTCTGTAATGCTGCGGTCGTCTTCTCTGTAACTGCTATCATTTTTTAAAAAACCAGTCTTCACAGAAAGTTCTTTCTGTCCCAAAGCTTTTGTCTGTCAGGCCCAACATCTTCAGATCATCTTCTAGCCCTTTTGATATCCTTGGGGCTAGAGGGACTTCCGGGAACCCCTCTAATGCTGCCACCTCCTTTCGGCCACAGGCACACTGGCTTTAGACCCATGGCTGGCCCATACCCCCCGACTTCATGGGACGTACCCCAAAAGTATCTTGGTCTGGGCATGCAACTGTGAAAGAAAGGACTACCCCTCCCTGTGGTGACAGTGCCTGGGATGACCGATACTTTTAGGGCAGGGACTCGCTGCTCTCAGAAACAAAGGCTTAGAAAATGTCCCCAAGCAGGATGCTTCTTACTCGGTCCTGTGGAAAGCTCTCCAGTGAGATATTTTAGCAAAGAACTGGAGTGGGAACCATGGGGTTTCTCTTTGCCATGCCTTAAAATCAGTCCGTGCCCCCAGCCATTGTCTTGTGGTATATATCCTCACTTCCCCCAGCCCCTAAACAGAGTTCACTTTACAGGGAGCCCCTCCAGCTCACCAGATCGAACACCTTTGAAATGAAGAGAGGAGGGCCTTTCACGAAGCTCACTCCATCCTCACCCCGAGGCCAGGGCTAGCCCTTTGAGCCACTCCAGGGCCATGGTTCTTGCCTGGTGACTTGGAACAGCTGCCCCGAGCCCCCACCTTTCTATTCCTCCCACCTGCCTTTTTAGCCAGCATCCATTTTGCCCCCTGCCCTAGCCTCCCAGCCCCAAGGGTTAAAACCATTAACTCACTTATTTCTCCCTCCCAAACCTGAACAAGTTGCTATCACTCAGGGCCTGAAGGTCTGCAAACTTCTGAGCTCCCTCCCCTCCTTGAACTCTTTTGGTCGCCTGTGTGTATGACTAGCCAACCGAGAGGCAGGATCCTGCTCTCTTGCCCTAGGGGCTGTTGCCACAGTCTTTTGACCTCAGCTGACCTCCAAAAGTTTGTCATCCTGCCCACCAGCTTTCTTAGCCTGCACTTGCCACCAGCTTTGCCGTGGCATCGTGGAGAAAGGTTCTCTTTCTGTATCCAAGGCAAGCCTAGACATAGAGACCAGTCTATGCTTTCTGAGTCCACACAGAACCCTTCTGGAAATGGCTTAGTCCATAAGGACTTAGGTTTCTTGGATCTTAGCAGATTAGAGCTAGAGGAGTTAGCTGCTCTTGTTCTCTGACCTGAAGCCTGCATTTGAGCTGAGAAGCTCAGAGAATAGTTATCAGGCTGATAATGCAGACACCCTCCAGCCCAGTAGGCAGCATCATGGAGAAACAGCAAAGACCCCTCAGGCTTCAGCATCAGGCCAACCTGGATCTGAATTCCAGCCCTACAACCCCCTATTAGCTGGGTTGCCTTGAACATGTTACCTTAACTCTGTACACCTCAGTTTCCTTATATGTAAACTGACACCTATTTCATAGAGACAATGTAAGATTAATAATAACACCCGTAAAACCCCTGGCAGGCACATGGTAGGCTGTAAATCACACCCCTGTTATATAACTCTGCCGTCTCTGAAAGGTGGACCTCAGGGCACCCTGCCATAAGACAGATCAGGCAAACTGCCCCTGACCCTGAGAGACTCTCAGACCATCAGAAGAGAGATGGGGAGAAACAATACATGCTGGTGGAGTAGGTACTCCGGCAGGGAGGTGACAGAGGGGTCTCAGGGGACACAGAGAAGTAATGCTGTCTTCTGCCTGGTGAGCAGGGAGTCAGAATCAGTTATAAAGTTTTCCCGAGGAAGAAGTGCTTAGGTCTTATCAGGAAGGATAATGGGAATTTTCCAGATAGAGTGCTTTGGAAGAGTTTTAAATTAACTGGTGCCGATCTTCTGCCACCCTCCACAGAAAAGCAAGTATATAGGCTAGTGCTTTTTCATCTGTGAGGGTGCTGCATCCACACCTGACTGCTACAAGAGAGGGCAAGAGGGCAGGATGACTAGAAAGAGGAGTAATCTGGAAGGGTGGCTGGAGCCTTCTACCTCAGGTCCTGGGAGCAGACTTATCTCAATATTGCCAGGGCTCTTAAAATGCATCAGCAGCCATCTCCTCTCAGGAATGAGAGCCCACTGGGAGTTCTTTCTTCCTAAAACATCACTAGTCGTGGTCACCTTTTTTGATCAGAGTTCCTTCAGAAAATTGAGCCCTAGTGCTCCAAGGGATCCATTGCACACAAGGAATTAACCTCTCTCCCAGGTATATAAAGTGATACTAAGTATATGTCACTTGGGAGAATCAAGAAAAGCATTGCTCATAATTTTCTAAATGTAGCTCAGCAGAGCCCAGGTTGAGAAAGCTACAAGAAAAGAGCATGAGCTTCGGCATCAGGACCTGAGTACCAGCTCTGCCACTTAGTAGCTGCATGACCCTGGACAAGGGACTGACCACTCTGAGGTTTTTTCTTATCTGGAAATGGGGTAATGCCACCTACCTTTTGAGGTTTTGTAAGAGTTAAGATGTGTACAAGCCAGGTGTGGTGGCACACACCTGTAATCCCAGCACTTGGGAGGCTGAGGCAGGAGGATCGTTGTGAGTTCGAGACCAGCCTGGGCTCCAAAGTGAGCTCACGGCCAGCCTGAACTGCATAGTGAGACCCTGTCTCAAAAAGACCAAAAAAAAGTGAGTTCAAGACCAGCCTGAGCTGCATAGTGAGACCCTATCTCAAAAAGACAAAAAAAAAAAAAAAAAGATGTGTACAGAGTAGCTCTGCTAATAACTTCAAAACACTCAGCACACACTTGTTTTTTTTTTTTTAAATCCTAACCATCCCTTTGAACGCTTTTAGAGTTTCCATGGTCTTCCCCTCACCTGATTTTTTCCCACTGCTGCTCTGATCCCCCCACGACCCCGGAGTGTACTTCCAGGGTTCTCATCTCGGTGTCCCTGTTGTTGTGTCCCGGTGAGACCTCGTTTCTCACGGTGGTAGAATTTTTTCTGCCAGTCAGTCCCCAGCTCTCTACACCCTCCCCTTTGAGGTCTTGCCTCTTCCTGGAGCTCGGACTCCTCCCACTTCCTAGACCAAGGCAAACTGAAGGCCAAGTCTCTGTCTTTTTTGTCTCCTTTTCCTTTGCTCCAGTGCACCACACATCACTTAGAAAATGTCTAGATGTACTGTTAAATCTCCAAAGCCACTGTAGGTCTTCTCTTGGATAATGTGATACCTGTGCTCCCTGGCCCTCCGCCCTTGCTGTCCTCACGTGTCTGGTCTTTTAGCACTGCTCATACAAGACACCTCTCCCTACTCGCTATCCTTCTCCTTCTCATAGTCCAGGGCCACTTCCTTTACACCCCTCAGGCGCCTCTCTCGGAAGCACTCAAGCTCTGTGAAACCTAATACCACGGCCTCGCTCAGCCTTTTTCCTACCTGTTTTCATGGCTCTTCCTTGCCCCCTCCGCAAGGCTCGGCTAGGTTCAGTCACCATCAGCTGAGTCCTTAAATTCCCCACCAGCCCACCTGGGGCAAAGAGCCTTTCCAGTAAACATCCTTCCTTAAACTGCCTGCTGGCTTATTTATCAGCAGCTAAAACTTGGAGTTCCATGTCTTGTTCCACTTCATTGTCTGTCCATCTGTCTATACTGCCAGACGTTGAGCAGTCGGCTCTCATGGCCTCTGGCTATCCTCCTTGAAACTCCATAGTCTGATTCTCACTAGCAGTTCAGAGCCCTGGGCCAAGGACAGGAAATTCTAGCTCTGTCCCCAAGAAATCCTTCTCCTTTGAGCAAATCCTTTCTCCTCTATAAAACTGAGAAGTTAGAGCGGCTGATTCCAAGGACCCTTCCAGCCCAACATCCCCAGACAAAGCTTTCCTTCTCTGTCACACGTTTGCTGAGC